AAGGGGCGGGGCCTACGAGCATGATTTGTGACATCACAAGTAGTTTGGAAGTCAATCAGTATGCAACTTATATAAATGTGATGTAGAAACCAGTGCTCATAGGCTGAGAAAGGAGAAGACATCTTGTGTCCAGCGGGAAACACAATTAGCCAATTAGCCATAACAATTATGGCTTTTTTGTGGAAAAAGATCACACATTGTTGTTCCAAGCAGACTATTGCATATATGTCTTAATACATATCTAGAGGGGATCTTTAAGATAACTGACAGCTTCTCAGTCTTCTCCAAATGTACTTTAGTCCTATCTGAATAATTCAGAAACTCTTTCAAATTCAAATGTCTGATTTCTAAGATATAATGTACAATACAACTTGATGTCCCTCTGTGCTCCCATTTTAAAAGTGCGTAAGTGGACACCAGTGTGTGTGGCACATGCAGTGTTTCTATAAAACCTTGGAGATGGGGGAGATAGGCGTCTGGCCCTGGGGTTTGGATTTCAGGCAGGTGCATTCGCCTGCCCTGTGGCTCCTCAAGGGACAGGATAGGACGGGACAAGGCAGGAAGAGGAGGAGAGGGTAGGCAATCTGTGCAGTCACACATACACAAGCTCTAGATCCCCAACTCAAAGACTGATCTCCACCCATGTTGGCCCCTCTACACAACACCCTCCCTACCATATCCTTCACTGACAGGAATGCGTCGGGACAATAGAACTGTCCTGGTCCTTCGGCTGGCGCCCCCCTGGGCCCACACAGGCCCTGACAGGAGGACAAAAGTGCACCTTGCACCTCTGAGCACCACCAGAAGCACCCTGGGGCCAAATACCTGAATACCTGTGGTAAATAAGAAGGAGAGAGGGAGAGAAAGAATGACACAACATGAGGCTATAGACAGAGAAGAGAGGGATGAATGAAAGAAAAAGAAGAAAAATAGCCCGCACAGGCAATTTTCTGCTCTCAGCTGCCAAGCGTAACACAGACTCATCCAGAGGTCCAAGCAAAACACAACAGCAGTCTTCCTATTTTGATACCCTCTCCGCTCTTATTATTATAATTCACCATGTCGCTCATTCTTTCATATCTATTCTGACACCTGCTTTCTTAGCACCATCCCCCAGTATGTACTCCACGTATCCTACCCTCTGTCAGTACTCTCTTACTCTCTCATGTCATGACTTGCTGGCCACTGCCTAGCTTACTCTGTGTGTGGTTTGTGCACACTGAGCCGAGACACTCATTTTCTTGCACTACATTTAAGCCTGATTGGCCCGCAGCTGAAATACATCACAGTAGGTGCCACTGACATTTCTGTGTAACAACTGAATGTGCAGGAGATCTCAGCGATTCCCTAATAGCCAACAGCTTTCAGTAAATCAAAGGCCAATGGGTTTTCCTCCTTGTATTTCACTGACTCGTCCTCCCCTCGCTGGGTGAATGTGTGCTAATCGGTGAAATGAAGTGTGTTAATCCACGGTCACATTACCACTGATGCAACCACAATCACTTTTCTTCGCGCAACAACTGGGGGCCTAGGGAGACTGTGAGGTCATGCTACTGGAACAAGTGCCCTGGAAACTTTTAATGAAACTTTACTTCATCGCTGCTTATATTATTGAGGGGAAACAATTTTTATGCTTAATGTAATTGATGTACACTGTGTTGAATATTTTTACTTTAGGAGCTGAATGCTGTTTAGCTTTTATCATCCTACTATTGAACAGCTAGGAACTTCAGCTGCTAAAGTCCTTATGTTAAAATATTGCTAAAAGAACAACTTTATGGAGTATAAACCAGTCCTCTAGGATACCACCTCGGAGTAAACCATGCTGTCACCCTTTTCATTTGCATTACATAACATTAATCAGATAAAGTGTAATTGTACCAGATGGCAGGAGCCTGAAAGATCAGACTTGGAGATTTGTGATATTCAAGCCTGAGGTCACTGCGATGAGCACCTATATTTGTCAACCTTGTGTATTGTGTGGTGGTAAAAGAAGTATTCAGATATTTTTAATTCAATAGAAGTAATATTATACTACAGTGTAAAAATACTGCATTCAAACTTTATGAGCCAGTTTTTCATATGTCAAATATTCATCTTTAGAGTAGATAAAAGTACAATAAAAGTACTGTATTTTATTTAAAATGTAGTGGAGTAGAAGTATAAAGCAGAGTTACATGTTTCATTGCACTAAAGTAGAATCCAAGTATCGTAAAACTGAACTACAGTACTCATATAGTATAATATAGTTTAATATATATTATTATTTGTTAAACCAATGACTTGAGCTTCTTGACTAGAAAATACTAATTTAAAGACTTGAGACCTACTGATGTCTTGCAAAACAATGACTTGGTCCTACCTCAGCCTGTGTATTTATTCTTCAGAAGACTCTTAGGTTAGGTTAGAGTTACTATATCTTGAATAAATATTTTTTCATAAATCCTCAGCAAATTTGGTTTATGGGAATATTTGATTTGCTGTTGCATCAGTTTAAATACCTTAATTTTGGGGGTATTTAATTAAATGGATAAGCTGAAAATAGACCCATTTTTTTATCTACTCTATAAACTTTCTCATTTGAATTCTGTCTATTAATATCAATACCTGATTTCATCCACATTGCCCTACTCTTGCTGCAATGGAAACCTGCATTTACGCAGCTCTGGGTGGCACAAGGTAGGAAACCTCTGTCACACAAACATATCTCATCTCTTTACCCTCCTGTCCCTTTATGGCTCATCCTCTACCCTCTGACCCTGTGGGACAGAGAGGGTCTGTGTTTAGGAAGAAACATAGCACCAGCCACATAACACACACACACCATTGAAGGGGGGCAGCAGGAGTGCGGAGGTGGGCAGGAAATGGCGTGTACCCCCTCCTAGAGGCCATATCCTGTCCTTGGGTAAAACTGGTTTATTTGTCCAGAGATCTGAGCTCTTTGTGTGCATGTGTGAATCCATGTCGGTGTGCATGTTAAGACTTAATAAAAACCTGAAACTATGCAGAATTGTACAAAACCCTAACAAGTAAAGCGTCCACACCGAGCGTATCTCTCTGCCCTCACAGCACATGTCATTGATCAAGTCTGCATTGCAACATGTGGCATTCCTCAGCAAATTCTACTCCCTACTGATTTGATAAACAGCCCGCGAACAGAAACAGTCATTCTTCACCAGACACCCACCAACCCACCCATCTCCCTCCTCCCCCAATGTCAAATCTCTTTCCCTCAATCTCTTCTCCCTCATTACTTTTTTTACTTTTTTTTCTCCTCCCATTATCATCTTCTTATCCCCAGGTCACCCTCTCCTTCAAACCTCGTGTTATTAGTTTCTCCATCCTACATGCCCGTGATTTTATACAGGCTGGAGGAAATGTAAAAATAAAGAAGATTTTTTTAATGACTTTAAAAGGACAAAGGTAGATGAGAGGGTCCAGCTCCAGCAGAGGAGGTTGGTGCTGAAATATTGGGCTGTGACATTGTGTAGGAGCACTGCAGCTCGTAAGAGGGGTTTGAAACTTTAACCCAGTGACTTAACCTTCTTGGCTTGAATCTGATCCCCCAGTGATTCAGCTCTGAAACCCCTGCCAGCTCTGATTTCTGCAATATACTGTTAGCTGTCTCTTCCTTGATATGGCGGACTACAAACCCCTGACAGAGAGACAGCTACACTTCACAGAGACCCACAACAACTCTCATACATCCGTGTACACACAAACAGCTGTAGCCGCACCCAGATGCTTTATATCAGCACTTTTTAGAAGAGCTGTGTTTATGCAAGACTGACAGGCCGCTTCCTGTGTCCTAAACATTACCACAAACACATACACTGAGAGTAGCGTAGTAGATGGGAAAAAACGGCAATTTCAGCTGTCAGAAATGTTAGTTTTACGTGTTGGAAAAGGTTTATTTCATTGTTGACATGCAGCGCTGCTTCCCATTGCTCAAATCAAGAGAGTTGAGTTTATATAGACCTGTAATCTGTACACATTTGAAGCCCCACTTATGACTCTACACAGGATGATTGTTTGGAGAGGCATATATTTTCTGTTTCCAAGATGACGGCACTCCAGCTGTAAACTGTCAAACATCAGCTTTTGTATACACAAAACCTCAGTTGAATTCATGAAGCAACATCCAGGCTTCCAATTCACTTTTGCAATTCAATTTTTATTGTTTTCGTTTATTAGAGCGAGGCAATAATTCTTAGACATTCTTTCCATGGGAATACCACATGTGAGAAATTAAAATGAATGGCAATCCCCCATTCTCTTAGTAATTAGGTCAGCATAACATTATTTCCTGTTACAGGAAAATCAAATTATTACTCTGACTCAAGAGCAGACTGCAAGGACAGCAGACAGAGCAGCCCCTCTCTTTCTGTTAGATGGCTGTATTGTATGTCTGTCACTAATGGCTCAGGAATGTCACATTAGTCAGGGGCCACATGCATGACGCTGCGAACATTAAAACACTTTGAGGAGGCCAATATGATATCATACACACTCACAACCACACACTAAAAAAGAAAGGTGACAGGTCCAGTGATCTCATTGCCTCAAAGCTACAGAGTGATAGAGTGCCTCCTACACACTGCAAACCAGAAAAAATGTCCCCCTGGCAAGTTGTCAGAGTTAAATTTCAAAACGGCCGAAACATAGCAGAAATGGAAGTCTGTTTGGTGACATGTTTTTGTATATGTTTGTTAAGATAGAGACATCCCAAGAAGAAAATGGAATATCATCTTACACTAAAGAATTCTTTTTTTACTTGTAATGTGTTTTCTCCATCTTTATACTCATCGAACACTGCTGCCACTTCTCTCTGCCCACCAAATCTAACACTGTCGGTAGTTCAATCTAAGTTCAGTCTCCGTGGCCTGTTTGTCTGCCTCTCTGACTCACTGACTGCGTAGGTGTGCAGCAGCTAAATGACTCTCACCTCTCGCTTCAAAACAGCCCCAGAGAGGTACAGGGAGACAAATGAAAAATCCCCCTAATCAAAAGTAACGCTCTTCATTCATGCATGTGAGTGTGCACACGCATGCAGCCTTTCAGGTGCTGTTTACATTGGGCAAGCTAAGTCATGCAATCCGATCCTAAGCTTTTTGAGAACCTCCTCAAGCACCCCCCCTCAACCTCCCTCATATCCAGCTCTCAACACTGAGAGCTATTGGAGGAAACGCGCTGTTACCTCACTAAGACATGCTGGCGTCAGTGTGTTTGGGTCAAGAGGGCAGTAGGGATTGTAGACACATTGCTGCCATATGTGCACCCTGGATGTTCACCCTCAGCTGGGCTCATAAGCACAGACTTCCTCCAAAAGTTCCTACAAGGTAACCGGAGTTTAACCATTCCTGAGCAGATGGCCGCACAGACTGAGGGATCTGTTTCAGTCCCGAGGTTCTGCCGTTGTTGTCCGGAGCCTGACTCTCTGGGGTGTATTTGTTGGTCTTGAGCCTAAGTTTTCTGCTTCCATCTGTGGCCGTTCCTGCAGCAGGAAGTGGGTCAGTGGGATTCCCACACTCAGCTAATTTCACACTGATTTTCTTCTGCAGGATTAGCCCACTCCAGCCCCTGGGAAGATCTGTCTTGCACAGCATCTTCTTAATACTACTTTTTTTTTTGCCAACCTCCCTTTCTCCCACCTGCAGTCGCTTTGTGTGCCCCCCCTCATCTCTTTAGCATGTGTTCTCCATGTGTGCCTGTGTGTGTGTGAGTGTGTGTGTGTTGGTGCTGACAGCCTGGCAGGTGTGTGCAGGTGTTCCCTTTATCACTCAACATTACACAAACCTACCCCTGCTCACACACTCTGTCTTCCCATTCAGAAACTGTCATGTCTGTCCTGATGAACTCATTTAGAGTTGTGACTTAATACAATGCCTGTTGAAATATTAATTAATGGTTGAGCACATAAGTAGGTCCACAACAGTTTTTTTTTTAAAACAAAGCTTTTATTTACATGTGGCAGAAAAAGGCACAATGTTCCCATTTGAAAGTCATGTTCAACAAAATGGTTCGTTAAAACTGTAGGTCAAAACTCGTGCCATCTTTAGACTGTAAAATGACAATATGAAGGAAGGAAAGAGTTTTTTGGTCAAGTTTAAGTGGTCCTTTCATGCCACACAGTGTGGCATGAGGAGGGCGAGCCGAGGGTCACCTGTCGTCGAGGTCAGAGCTAACACGTCTCTCAGCGCCCTGCCTCCACACTACTACCATACACAGGCAGCTGTCTCAACACACAGACACACTTGCTCATAACACACACATGCCATGTATGTATAGTATGGTGAGGAATGACATCCTCACATACACACAAAAACACACCCAAGCAGCTGCAACATGGCCAGAGTCCCGGACCGGCCGGCACCGATGGAGTTTCCTGGGAATTAACTGCATGTCCAGCTGCCCTCAAATCACACACACATGCACACAGTTGACAGGACGCAACAAAAATGTGCAGATACCAATGGGGAAAATCTGATAAACCTACAGAGTCCTGGAAAATTAAAAAGGCACTTAATAAGTCGTTTTATAAAAAGCAACAGAAGTCCAGTTTTCTGTCCTGTCATGGCTCTGTGGGTGAGCTGGCACCAATCTGTCCAGTGTCCTGAGGGGTGGACAACCTAACCAGCAAGCAGCTTCAACTGGCTCATGAGAGCAGTTAGAGGGAATGTGAGTCTATGAGGCAGGGCAGCAGCCAGAGGCGTTGTGTTTGTGCAGCAGGGACATGCGGCTGAAGGTCCGTGCGCAGGAGCCACACTGGTACTTCTTCACTTCAGAGTGGGTTTGCAGGTGGGCGCGCAGGTTGGAGCGATCAGCAAAGGCCCGGTTACAGTGTTGACAAGCAAATGGGCGCTCACCTGGTTACAAAAAGAAAAAAAAAAACTGTTAGCATCAGGAAAACGCTTCATTAACAGGCCAAAGGGTCTGGTCATTGTTTTTCAAATGATCAGATAACTAACAAAAGAGCAGGAACACTGTCCTAACTTACTAAATGCAGATTGGCCTTTTTCATGCATAACCATTGTGAGGCTGAGATTAGATTGTGCTGAGCAATAACATTTGCTCACACATCAGGAGACATCAATGAATATCAATGAGCACAAGGTGCAACCAGCTGTTACATTTACAAGCAAACAGAGCTTGGAAATGTAACACATGTGATCCCTCTGAAATACTAATGGAAAAAGCTGCTTTTTGATGCATACCTGTGTGTGTGCGGATGTGTCCCCGGAGCAGCCACGGTCGGGAGAAGGCCTTGCCACATGTGGGGCACACACAGGGCAGTGTGTGTGAGCGAATGTGCATCTTTAGGGCCCCCAGGCTGGTGTACTCCTTGGGGCAGTGCTTGCAGTGGAAGGCTGGCCGTGCAGAGACTTCAGTGGGGAGAGAGGGTGTCTGCTGGAGTGGAGCACGGTGGGAGAGCTGGTGGTGGGACAGTGCTGAGAGACTGGTGTAACTGTTACTGCAGTGCGTGCAGTGGTAGATGTGCTGGATGATGTCCGGGCTGGGTGGATCTGAGGTACGTCCGCCGTCCTCTTCTTCCTCGCCGCTGCTACTGGAGGGAGAGCTGCTGAGGTCCAGAGGGCCCCGTGGTGAAGGGGACAAGGACACAGGGGTGATCGGGGAGAGGGGTGCGGGCAGGGTGTCAATGCTGCTGAAGAATGGGCTGGTGGGGTAGCAGGTCAGGGCAGAGCTGTTGTTCTGCGTTGGAAGTTCAGCCCGTGGAAAGCTTTCTGGGACAAAAGCTGGAAACACAGAGGAAAGGAAAGTCAGGTGGATTGCCACTTCAATGGACAGATAATCTAATAAAGTACTAAACTTGTTTTCATTCCTGGTGTCTTGTTACAGCCTGTATTCAACATAACCCTGATCCATCTAGCTTTTCCATTAGCAAATTTGCCATGTGAAGCACCCAGGAAGCTAAATGAAAGATAAATGACCATCTTATCTGCCACATGGGTCTGTTCTGCAGGGGGTAACTTGATAAAGCACCCTTTTCATGACTGACTGACTGACTGACTGTGATTTACTCAACATGTCATATAAATATACTCACAGATGCATCAAATTCAGTCAATTGGTGAGAAAAAAACTTACCAGTTTGGCTCTCCAGCTGGCTCTCCCTGTAGTATGGCTTCTTGTTGGAAAAATACTTCTTGACAAGGAATGACCGAGGCATGGTGAGGTCTGGCTTCTCCGGTAAATTAGAAAAAAAATATTCCCACGGCGGAGTGCGCTCAGATCCAAGGATCTCTTCTTCAGAGAGCTGCTGATTCCAGTCGGAGCGAGAGGAAACGCTAGGCGAGATCAACAAGACCACTACCGAAGTTGAACGTATCTTGTTGACGGATCGCAAAGTTCCCTCCTCATATAGTAACCAGAGGGGAGAAGCAGCGGGGTGGGTGGGTAGATCTCCGCCCAAGGACACACCCCGTGTGTCAGGGCGCCACCAGCTCCACTCACCACAGGTGCCCAATGTGCCAAAAGCTGCAGCAAAGCGCAAATCTAATTGTGCATTTCACGCCTCTAATCGCTCACTCTTAACACACAGGCGTGCACGTATTGTCATTAAATGTGAATAGATGACGCTACTCCCCCAAAATGTTTTTTGTGTGTGTTGTATTTGAATGACGTTAAATGTGCACAAGAATATGGAAAGAGTGATGATAAAACACATATAGTAACAATTTTTAGGATTTCTTTTACACCTTGTCCACATTCCTTTACAATATGTGTCATGGCAACCTGAAGCTGGAGCGTCCTCTGTCGGCTTATAAATTGTTTATCTGTATGAGGTAATGGGTTGTATGGTAACCTAATTTACTGCACATTTATATTCACACATTTATAGAATACAGAATAATGCTGAAATGTGCATAAAATGGTGATTTTAAAAAATGAGATTTGTTTAAGCTTACTACTTTTAAAAGCGTCCATTTAAAAGAGGGGAAGTGAGTAATTTCCCAATTAACAATACAGCTGTGTTGGTTTGAGTTGAGACACTATAATTCAATTTGACTGCTTTCTAATAGTATTAAGCTTATCTCTTATTTCTCTCTCATCTAACACTTAGGTGCATTTGGCAACTTAAGAACATTTAGACCGATTCTCTCCTAAATAAGTGGCATTTTATGATGGCTCTTTTGTGTGCCTGTGCCTCGGGGCTTTTACGCACCCTGGTGAGGTGGAGACATTTTGAGAAGGTACAGGAGACAAACGCTCTGTTCTCTTTGCTCCCCTCAACACAAAACATAAGGCACTCAGTTCATCCTGACCGCATATCTCTTTCTCTGTGTCTCTGCGGGAAGTAAGTCCGTTTAAATGAAAGAGCCACTGTTCCCTAGCTTGCTCACAGCACGATCCGAGGTAAAATTAACGGAGTTGACAGGAAGAATATGATGATGTAAACCCAGACAGGGCCCTATTAAAGCTTGTGCCTTCGGGTGGCATGAAATGCAGCCAACCAGGATAATGCCCCCGAGAGGAAATGGGTTTCACATGTTTTGTCCTTCTTTTTTTCTTCTTCGCAATGCGTAAACCTGCGTCAACATGTGTGCGTAATTCAATTACGCAGCTCCACTCTCCGACATCAAACTTGTAACATTGTCATCTTTACCAAGGTTAGCCTGATATAATCTATTAGAAAGTCATAATAGGAAAACAGAGGAAAAATAGTGATTATTGTGCATGTTCATCTCATGTTTTAACATTGTAAACATTACCCTAATTCTTTATTATCTTATTTTATCACTATTTTATTTCACTATTTATGCTTATATTCTTGTTTTATTGTAAATTGTAATTGTACATTTCATCAGTTTTTGAATAAATTCCGCTCCAAAAATAAAAGTGTATTATTACTGAATGCCTGATAACCCCTTACACTGACGGATTAAATGTATTTTAACAATGATTGGTGCTTCTGTTACATGATGTTAGGATAGGAACCTTTTCCTTCATTTTTTGTTTGTTCCGTTAGTGCACACACCCCGTGAGTCTGAACATCAGGTGCCGCGCATTATACAGGAATGTCACAGTCTTCAGCGGTACTGTTTAGCATTGCAAAGAGTCTAAGAACTCCACGCTGGCAGGGTGATGGGGGTATATGCACCTGTCTAAAGGCGCCATTGTCGCGGCATGCCCAAAAGTTCACACGTCGTTAGAGCGCTTGTTGACGCCGACGCCACGTAGACTGGAGGTCACGAGGGCATGACAGCAGTAAAAACAAAAAGCAAATAGCAAAGACACACGTGAAAGTAATCTGAGTTGTGGCTCTGCTCCTGAGGATGACTCTGACAATGCAAATGGTGTTTGAGAGCTTCAACTTAACGTTATATAGGGCTTACACTTACTTTCTGTCTATATTCCTCACTCACACAGACAGAAGAAATATGACATGAAATATCCACCTGACCTGACACACACAGTGTAAGAGGCTCTGAGAGTGAAAACAGCTGATTACACACTGTTGAGAGCAGTTTGTCTGACGGCAGACAATTTGTGTTACAACAGGGTTAGAGTGACCTCATGACACACAGAGGACAGGAAGACATGAAAAGTTTGCTGCTCAGAACAGATGTTCTTCTCTCCTCTCTGGCCTCAGGAATGAACCAGACGGTGTTCCTACACAGGCTCAAACAGTCTGCTGAAACCCCTTCAAACTAAAAATAACACAGAAGATGAATCTTCATTATGTCTAATCTTGGGGAGGTTTTGCCAACTAATGCCAAAAAATACACCAACAAGGTGAATCTCGGATAATACCAACCTGAAAGGAATGTGGCTCTCTGAATGCCGTTGAAAAGAAGAAACTGTCTGAGAAACATTTAGTACAACAACTGATGGCAACAGTTTATTGATTGTATGGATAATCTCAGTTATACTTGATCAGCCTCTTTTATTTTTCATGCTGAAATGCAAACATTACCATGAAGCTCTAGGAATCTGTTGCTTATCATGTGTTTTTGTAAAATTGAATATAAACACTAAAATGAGGTTGGTTGATGTTAGAATACACTTGTTGGCTTGTGACGAGTCTTCAAAATGTCCCCTTTTTAAAAAAACAGGCACATATAAACAAATCATGTCTCATACTTTAGGGTTAAACTAGAGCAGTTTATCAAAACTACACTCTTCAGGTATCATTTTTGATAAGAAAATGTATTCTTTTCTTGATTAAGTTCTGCTGTTGCAGTAAACTCATAAGAGAATTAAAGTAAGTTGTACAGTGTTTGGTTTTGACAAATCTGGACTGATACAGACCAGTACAACGAAAAGGATCTGCAGAAGCTCCTGGCTGAAGGTAAGGTCTGATGTGTTTGTCTTTAAACCTTTTTCTGGGGAACATATGCTGTAAAACCGTCAAATATTCTGACGGTTTGTCGCTCTTCCAAAAACAGCTACTAAGTGAAATCGTTGCATATATTCTTAATCAGAATATCCCTGAATAGGATGAATTAAAATAAAAAGGTCATAAATGGATTTAAGGTGATTGTTACAGATAAATGATTTATACAGTTTATTGTGACAATAATAGGGAAACGTATTGCTCTATGTTGCATTTGATTGTAATGTACAGTGTGTTGCAATAATACTTTTTTTAATCACATGAATTCAGTGAGCAGTAGCTGTTGCACTGGTGACTACAGTTATGTAATGTTGCAACAGGATTACAAAATAGAAAATTTCCATCAGGGAACTTCCAACAATAATATGTTAAAGCCTTTTGTGGCTTCAGAGGGAGCTGTACAAAGTCTGGTTTCCTCAAGTGATGTCACTTGAGTCAGTGTCTCAGTTGGGGCTTCAGACTACACATTTGAAGAAGAAAACGTCCGGCAGTGTGGAGTTAGAAAGAAGTGAGCCTTACATGACCTCTGTAGCCCGTTCTCTCCTCTCCTCCATGTCTAGAGGCAGCGCAAAGGCTAATATTAGCTGCTACTAGCATAACACGCGCTGAATCTCCAACCAAGCGGTCAAGTTGAATTGTGGGTAATGTAGCACCTGCATAACAGAACCTCACAGGTGTGCCTTTACACATAATCTTACCCAGTTTGTTCATTCAGTAGCAGTCAGGGCTATAGCCAGGATTTTAGAAATTGTGAGTGAAGGCAGTTCATTTATAAGATCTCATTTAAGGATGAAAGAGAGGAAAAAGACGATCAAAGTACAGATGTGGAGGGAGATGGGAACACACTCGTAGCCACAATGCAAACATCTGTTTTGATAATTTACCAATATTTCAACCTGACTGTCTTCCTGTAGGTATGTATATAGTGCTGCATCACCGTGATGTGTCATGTCAGTTTCCCTTTTTTGTGGAACTGATGGTGAAGTTTACATTAAATCTTTATGCTCTGATTTTTTTTTTTTTTTTTTTTTTTTTGGGGGGGGGGGGTTGTATTTTCTTACTTGGCTATATTTTATATCATGTTTGAGCTGATGGTTGACCTCCATATTGTACTCCAGTGTCCTTTCATGTGTTTGAAAAGAAGACAACTCCCAAACACCTATTGTTTTTGCCAAGTACACAAGTGCAGCTTAAAGCCATGTTTTACATTTAAAAACCCCGAGCTGATAGCCTTTGAACAATCAGGTGCATTGTTGCCATTCAGCAGATTCAGACAAAAGGTAACGATCACTTGAGCACATTTACATTGGATGTTTTCCAGACTGACCCTGATGCACAACAACAGCACATAAATTAAGTCCAGTCAAGTTCTCTTTGTTCATGTGATGATTCAAAGGGTACAGGAGATCTCCCAACATGTCAGTGAGTGGTTGGATGGGATGGTACAGTGATGCTCTGGTTGAATCTAAAAGAAAATAGATTAGTCTGTGATTATAATCTGGGCCACTATTGCCCATTTTGCTTCTCACAGTAGAACCAGTTTACTCCTTGGGTGACACAAATGATCCACTTTGGTTTGAAGACTCTGTTTAAGTTTTGTCCTCTCCCTGTCTGTACATATTATATATTATATATTATATTCACTACATTAAAGATTGTCCTATTGGATGTGTTACCTGTATTTTATCTTCAACTCACCACAACCACAAAATCTTCAACTCACCACAACCACAAAACAAGCTTATATAAATACCTGTCAGACTATTTCTAATGTGACTGTCTGTTTTCCACTTCATGTCTCTGTGTTTGTTTATAAGTGTGAAATGGAGTGTGTGTGTATGTGTGCGTGTTGTCCTACAGGTTCAGAGGTCCATAAACCCAGCAGGAGGGAGATAAGATTATCCCACTGGAATGCAGAGCTGGTCATATGGACACACACTCCCACACACACGCTCAGTCGTCCGTACACACTCTCTGTTGAAGTCTCTCTATTAGACACAAACACTCACTCATGTTTTAGTCAAAATCCATCTTGCTCCAC